CCACTTTCATTTCTTCATTTTCTATCTCTGTTCTGTGTATCGGCATGCTACTTTTCCTTAATTTTCTGTATCATAGCACTGTGAACAATCTCTGTCCTTTGATATCATTTCTGCTTTGTCAGAAGCACTCACCAAAATGATAAATGGAGCTTTAATCATTAGTTTTCTAATAAATCTGTTTTGTGTTCCGTTGTAGGAGAGAAATAGACTACTCTACAAAATTTCAGAAGCCACCGATGTGAACTACAGTTAACCATCAGCATATTTGTCAACATAAGCAGTGTTTTAAAGGACAGGATACCTGGTGCCTCCTCAGAGCAAGGCACCTGTGTGTCCTGAGAGCCAGTGCAGTGTTTAGTTCCACATGGAAGCTTGTATTCTGCTGAAGCAGACTCCTTATTCTCTCTTCTGTCCCACATCCAAATTTCAAGTGCTGTCCTTTGAAGTCCTTGGGAATTCTCATTCAAGGGACACCAGTGAAGCTACCTGCACACACAGCATTAAAAGTAACAGTGTATTTTCTGCAATGACATATCCTTTATTATATATATAACATGATTAATGGGGAAAAAAGTTGTTCCTGACCTGAGAGTTCCCAGAGCAGTGAAATTTTCTTTCTTCCACAGACACGTTTTACAGAAGTTCACATTTTGAGGTGCGTGCCTGTTCTAAATTATAAGCTTTGTTTTAGAATAACTTACCATTTTAAAGTGGACCTACATTTATCTTATTAATTTGCTTCTGAATATACTGCTTTCTAATTTGCAGTGAAATGCACATGCAAGGCTAATTAGGCCAAAATGCAAAATGATAAAAAATAATTTGTTGAAAGTGTTCAAATAGGGCTACTGATATTGTTTTATGGAAAAGACTGGACCCTTGTAAAAGCAGAAGCAACTTGCAGTTGTACAGGACTTCAAAATGAAATGAATACAAAAACAGAACATAAATAATATTTTAGCTCTGCCTGAGTCAGTGCTAGGAGTCTTTGCTAACAGCACAGACTTTCAGTTAGATTCTCATCTTGTCTGGAACAGCCAGCTGGTTGAGACCCAAACTTAAGTCTTTCAAGAAGTGGCTGAACAAAACAACTTAAATAAACTCAGCTACTTAACTGCACACATGCACAAATGACTAAATGATTAAGATGGGCTGCTCTCATTTCCAACCGTTATAATGGCCTTATTTCATATCTTCCCAAGCCAAGCGTTTTTTCTGAATGCAAATGGATCAGGCTAGCAAGAAAACAAGCATGTGTGAAACAAAAAGCCTTTCTTCCTTCTAGGCATACTTGTGTTTTAATGGTAAGGAGGTTATGCCCTAATCTTTCATTGAAATCCAGATATTCATCAGCTTTTGGACAGTAATGGCAGCAAAGTTGATTTCACTGAACATTAGCTGTTGAGATGCATCAGTGGAAATTATGACCAATCTCAGTATCACTTTTGGCTCTCTGTTTAACTATTTATTTTATTATATTTATAGTAAGATTAGTAGTTTTAAAGAGGAAATCAATTTAAATAGCTATTTAAACCATAGGAAGGATATTATATTAGAGATAAAAATAAGAAAATTTACAATAAATCGAAAGACTTTGAGAAATGATCTAACTCCTCACATATTGTAATGAAGCTTGAAGTTTTTGTGGTTTCTTGGTACAAAAGTGCCAAAGACACATACCTAAGGTAAATCTTACACACAGTGTATTTAATTTTTACAGCAAAGACTGAAAAAAGATGGTTTACAGCTCAGAGAAACATCTTTAGGCACTCTGTAGTAGTAACCATTCTGCACAAACCCAGTGTGTATCACCCCTACCAGGAATGGTTATTCCAGGGCAGAGGGTACTTCCTAAGTGCAGGAGACACTCCCCTTCAGTAAAGGTGGTGGTCATGCCCACATGTACCCATGCTGATATTGACAAGAAGATAGGAAGCGTGAAGTAAAACACAGACATAAATACACCAGTGCTACAACAATCTGCAACAATCATTAACACACTGAATTACTGTAAACACAAATACAATTATTTTAAAATTGCAATGCCCTAACCGTGCAGCTACCTTTCGCCTTACAATACAGAATCTCTAATAGATACAAAGCTCACAGTTATCAGTCCTTTACGTTTTCTCTCTTCTTCCCAGTCTCAGGGCGGCGGTATGCCTCTTGCTTTATGGCCTATCACTCTGGTTGGAAAGACCACAGTCAGGAGAGACTCTCTGTTGGTGATCCCACCTGAGCCTCGAGCATCTCCACCAGGGCCATAAAGTCCAGCTCATGTAAGGTCCACAGGACAGAGGTTCTGTAACCACAGGAGACTATCCAGACCAGAAGTCTGGCAGGCAGATTCCTATTTCTCTCCACACTCTCTTGTTCCCTAGAACCTGGCCACTGCCATCTTTCCTCCAGAACCTCACATTTAGTCTGGTTGGACTCCCATGTTCCTGAAAGGATGGGCCCCCCCTCAAAGATGCAGAGGTTTCATCCTACAGTACACACCATTGCCAGCCAGAGGATTTGCATGCTTAGCCCCAGCTCAGCTATTGTGTGCTAGCAGTGATATATGCCTTGTCTCTCACCATGACTCTGCTGCTCAACTCCTGTTGTGCAACCCAACCACCATCTCAGGCCCCATCACTACTGCCCTGGTGCTCAGCCATTGCACCTGGAGCTTGACCACTGTCTCCAGTGAGGTGTTTAATTTCTTCTCTGCCATCCTGTCCTCAGCTACCACATGCTGGGGACATGAAACCACTAGAGACTGCAGCCCTCCACTCCATTTTTCAACTCTAAGTGAGGTCTCTGGAGGGTTTGGAGAAGCTGGTCTGACCCTGTCCACCAGCAGGAACATAGGACTGAGCTCAAGCTATGACTCCACCCTGCTTCACCCAAAAAGGTGGCCTTGTAAGAGCTGAAATCAAAGGCTGTAAAGAAAATACTGTCTTCCCAATACCTGCACCACCTGGAGACCCTGTGATACTGGCAGCGTTCACCAAATGCAAGTTCCTGAGTGCTCACTCTTCAATGTGGTCACCAACCTTGAACTGTCCTTGTCTCCCACGTCAGGAAGCTCTCACATGCCCTTGTATGCTTAGGCTTGATTCCTGTGAACCCCTGGGGTTTCCATGGTTCAAGAGTTTGGCATCTCAAGATCCCATTCCCATTCAGCAAGAATCTTTTCTGGACTTAGTATAGCCCATTTGTACTTCCTGCTTAGAGCTCCTCCACTGTCCCAGGCCCCAGCACCCATCAGAGGCCTTATGTTAACTGAATTCCTGATTCTGGGACAAAGTACAGTATGAACCTCTGCTGTCCCCGTCTGTCCTGCCTCACACTTCCCAACAAGGCAGTACAGTAGGTTAGAAGGCTCACCAGCTCCCCTGTGGAAACAGCCCAGACCCTGCGCATGACCTAGTGCTTTCTTTACTGGGAGATGCGCACAAGTGCATGTGGTTTTGGGATGAAAGTCTGCATCCTGTTAAAATCAGAAAATTACATTCATTTAAATATATATTATTTGCATACAGTACATGTGCAAGTGGAAATACATTTATATATAGCATGTGTGCCTAATAAGCTGGGATTCAAACATCCAAGAGCCTCCCAGTTCCAAACCATGTGGTCAGAAGTCTGGTCTTCCACTACAAGGGAATAAACTTATATGAGAACTTTAAACAACATTTTTGAAAGTTAAAACAATTTTACTTTCTTTCCCCCTGCAAGCACTAACATAAAAATCCTAGGACCTAGTACAGTGGGTGTCTCCACTATGGTTTTGTGTAACTTACATTATTAATTTCAATGTAGTGGCCTTTAAACAAAGAAAACAATCAATATGCTTATGGTTGTGAACCTATGTGAGATATTTGCTGACAATGGCATGGTAAAAACATATTGTAACGCATACGGCCTCCATTGCTTGCAAGAGCTGGCTTACCAGAGCAGTGACATCACCGCCCTTCCCTGTGAATAGCAGGGACCGCAGCCACCGGGCTGTCGGGAGATTTCCGTTTGGCTCAAGAGGCTGAGTCCCTGTTGAGTGATGCTGGAGACCCAGCGAACCAGGCCGACCTGATGTGGCAGTGGCGAGGGCGCCCACATGAACCCTGAAGCGTTACAGGATTTATAACAGATAATGAGACTGATTGAGGGCTAAAGTATTTGAGTTGCTAAATTATGTAGTTCATGCTTTAACTTAAAAAAGTTACTGTACATTCTTTTACAAAAAAAAATATATTAAATAATGCACAGTATGTTAGCTGAGACAGATAAAGACTGAAGTTAACATGGTGTTTTAACTAAGCAATTGATTTGAACCTATTTCCTTGGCAGTTAGGAAGGGGATGCATAAATTACAGTTTATTAGTTTTTGTGACTCATATGTCAAACATCCTAAAATGTTAGGATACAGTAACAGAAATGATTTTCTCAACAGATGGCTTGCTAACACTCGTCAGTGCTCATTTATGAGTGGGAACTTGTATTTTTTTTTCATCTAATGCCAATCATCACTTCGTTTAAGTCTTTGGACCTCAAACGTTCAGTGTAATTTTCAAAACGAATTCCCGCAGTTCTACAGAATCAAGCCGAATCCGGTGGGTTTCCTTCACAACTTTTATTGACTAATAAATAGGATAATGGTCTTTACATTTATACTTTCTTCCAGAACAGATTTGTTTTGCAAGTCACTGCTTATGATTAGCTCAGAAGGCAGATGAGAAATATCAGCAGATAAAAGGTCATAATTTTGGGGGGTATATTTTGGTTTTAAACTTTCCCAGATACGACTACACAGTACGATGACAGCTTTTTGCACAGTAATGAGGAGTACGTTTTCGCGCTAGAACTGGCAAATTCAAAAAGATCTAAACCAATATAATTAAGGATGATCAAAGTGTAAACGAGAGCAACGAGAGACAGATCAACTCTGGGACTTTAGCATTTGAGGCTTCGCTGCCGTGAATGTGTTGAAAACTCTTCAGAAAGCAAAGCGTTAACCCCCCACTGCAATGAGCGCATTCCCACGAGAATGCAAACCTGAACTCCGCTTTCAGGCTCGCCGTTACCGCGGCGGAATCAGGGAGCATCAGCTACAGAAAAAAACAAACACTGGTGGGCTACTGTACACCAAGGTGAGATCACTCCCTTGTTGAAAGGACAAAGAGAAACATGCAAGTACTGTCGAGCAGCTCGCCCGTGCTCGACGAAAAAGAGGCAGTAACCGAGTAACTACCGGACGGAGACTCCTAAAGCCTGTGCTGTTTTTCAAGGCGGATCAACTAACTGCAGTTATAATACAGAGCAATAGAGATCAATTGCTGGGTAAAATCACGTGCCCGCGCATGTCACCCACGGTTACGAGAGAAAGTTGCAGTTGAGGATGTAGCGGGGAAGAGAGGAATGTATCATATGGACCTAACAGTACATCTGAAAGCATCGATCAGTGAGTTACAAGAAACATACTTTGTATGTGTATTTTGTACTACGGGACTTAAAGTGACAATAATAAGACAATAAAGTGTTTGGGCTGCTTTGCTAGGAAGAAACGTGACACTGGATTCCGAATGCAACAATTAACCTTGATTTGGACATTAAGAGGATTAAATCATATTCTGGAATAAAGAGGACTGTGCTCTCGGGAACATTGTTAAAAAATTTTATGGTTTGTTGCAAGCAAACATATATACTGGTGCACAAAGATAATAATAGGTGACACCAAATGACTTTTTTTTTGTTTTGTTTATAAAAGTCAGTCGTTTTATCAGGTCGATATATTACCAAAAATAGAGTTTCAAGAGCATCCCCGTGATAAGGGAAAGGTGTGAGCACTGTAAGGAAAGACACATAAGTCAGAATTGTGCTGCGTGCGTTACAAAGGATGAACGCGACGATTGATACAGTTAGATAATTATTATCACCGTTTGGGCTGTATTTGCTCCGGTACACGGAATTCACACGCGACACTGTGTTTCTGCTGCCGGGACTTCCACTCCAGCGATTTGAAATGAGGACCGCATTCGAATCCCCGGCTGTCTGAGGCGCACACTTCAGTTTTCAGCTGGTTTTCTTCCTTTCGAAGTAACATATACGGAAGAAAAACTGAAACAAGTAAAAAAGACGTCCGATTACAATGGATTTGCAAAATAACTGGACTGCATCAAAAAAGACTGTGATGGCAAAGATCTTTAAAGTTCGCAAGAGGAGAGAGATGTTGTTCCTCCAAGTGTGTTTCATCTGCAGCATACTGTTTTTGGCGTGGTGCATGTCAACATTGCTGTCAAAAACAGGTAAGTTTAATTCTTCCCTACTAAGAAGGTGTACCGCACTATTGTGAACACCAGTTATTTGGTGTCATGTGACATGTGAATTCTGCAGTGTGAGTGCGCAGACACCATACATACGAGAACCTACACATGAACTGCTTTTTTTCTGTAGGATCTAATGTATTCTTTTTCCTTTTAGATATTCCCAACGAACAGTTTACACTAGGGGTTCCATCGGCAGATGGGGTGCTTTGAGGGACTATTCAGAATAAGACCAAAATTATTTACTGCAAGATAACTTGAACAACCATCACCATTGTTATGCGCGGTTCAATTACACGCAGACAGGAGGCTCTTTAATTAAAACTGCTGTCTCAATAAGAAGCTGTAATATGAAAACACGTTTTAGTTTTGTACGAGTAGTGTGTCCAGCTTGTTCCCTTGACTCATCCCTAGACTATATGAAGACGGCCAGGACGGAGATACTATAACCTGTTTAGAAGATTTGGCCTTGACTTCTCCTTAGTCACAGGTTAGAGGAGGGTGTGTGCCCCTTGGTGTATCGTGATAGGGTACATACTGCATGCCGCAGTACGGGAGCACAACACGCTGGGTTTGAATGACTGCATATGCCTAGTAACTCGTACAGTGCGTGCAGGGCATCTCGCGTCTAACGCAAGCTAGTGTTTGTGCCTGTTTGTCCTGCTCCGTATAAGGGGTTTGCGAATGAGACAGTGTCATGTGAATGCTGATGTGACTTGAAAACAGTTGATTAAAGACCTTTTAAACGACGGAATAGCAGTATCTGTAGATTCAGAAGCTCTCATGCAGCAACAGTGCCATCCTACTGTACATGCTTAGGTAAAAAAACACGCTGATCACAGAAGATACCTTGTGTTGTCAATTTGTTTTTTGTGAATGGCATTAAGATTACTGATGCATCCACTTTAGGTACTAAAATGGAAATAGGGGTCACTGTTTTTTAGGCAACTAGCAATATTTAGTAGCGACTTCTTGCTGACCTTTTAAACTTGCACTAGTTTCACTTGATTTTATCTAATGGTGGATTTGTTGTGGTGACTGAATTTACCAATGTGTCGCAAAGTGCATTTTACACGATGGGCTGCACCGTATTTGGTGTATATCGTGTACTGTGAATAAGCGCGGGAAATATCTGGCCATCTCATAATATTAGAAAATACCGTATGAAATACCTCTTTATGCTTCCTATATACTGTATACAGTACTGTATGTTATATACAGTAACCCCTTCTATGCATACAGTACGTGGTGTAAATGCTGAAGTACAGTATTAAGAACAGCACATTATAATCACATCACACGACGTTTCTTTATAGGTCACCTCAAGAATAAACGAGCAGGATTGGCTACTAAATGTTTTGATTATTTTTTTTTAAATATATGAAGTTAGCAAAAAAATACAGTCAGGTGCCTTTTAGAATATATATCAATGTATGTTGAAGACATTATATAATTATTATTTGACAGTTTGTCATTTTACAAATGATCTAGTATATTGCCCAAGAGAGAATCAACCAGTATTTTTTTAAACCACAAAAACAAATCGAATGTCATGATCTGCTTGATATGAGAGTTCTATGGGCACATAGAACATAATGACAATAAGAAGGTGACAAATGGGAGGCAGTCATTCAGCCCATCTAGATAGTTTAGTTGCTAGTCGCTAAGTGATCCAAAAATCTCATCCAGGTATTTCCTAAAAAGAAATCCAGGGTTTCGGGTTGGGTAATTGTTCCATACTGTGACAACCCTTTATGTAAAATGCCTCCTGTTCTCAGTTTTAAGTGCCCTTCCATATGCTGTAGTTATGTCTCGTATCCTATGGTTTGTGCTTCACTGTGGATTCTGAAAAAGTCCTCTGTGTTGACTTTGTCAGTGCAATTGAAAATTCAGAATACTTGAATCAGGTTTCCTCAAAGTCTTCTCTGTTCAGGATTAAAAATGTTTAGTTTTGCTGGCTCTTCTCTTGACTGATTGCAGTGTAGCAGTATGTTTTTCTACAAAGTGGTGATTGGAATTATACACAATATTTTAAATTAGGTCTTACTAGTGCCTTGTGGAATTTTAACATTCCCATCCCTTGATATATGCAGGAACATAAAAACATAATTGGTGCTATGAACACAGTTTGCGCAACAGCTATTAATGCTGTAATAATACATATAAATTGTAACGTAAGTTTTAGGTTAAATTTCTTTCTCAATGTGAAGTATGAACAAAGGTAGACACCCCCCCCCCACACACTAAAATTCCCACTAATAACCCTGTAAGAGTGATATGAAAAGCACATAGTTATACCTTTAAGACTAGATACAGGTCCGATGAGCCTTAAGGGAACTGGGTCACAAAAAAAATTGTTTGGTTATCTGCTGAACATTGAAAGGGAGCTGATGTAGAATCCAGCAGGAAAAAAGGCACTGGATAGCTAACATTGATTGACAGTGTGATCAAGCCGGTCAGGAGAGTCATAACACATCTTTCTTGCCTGTTTTTAGAAGCTAACATCCCTGAGGAAGGGAATATGGGATCTGAACTCAATCAATTAGCAGCAAATAGAATATCTGCAGAAATACACAGGAACCATCAGATCACATCCCCACAGTGAGAAAGCAGTGAGACCCATGTGTGTCTCATCCTGGTCTCTTGTGACTGCAGCATTACCACCTTTTAACCTTTTTAGTCATCCAATTTGCGAAGTTTGTCAAGCTTGAGCCTGGTCATTACTGAGATGGAAGATCATCAAGGAAGAATAGGATCCTGCTATAAGGCTGGAGCCGTGGAACTGTAAGTTTTAGTTGAACCATAGGCGACACATTTCCCTCTGCATCAGAAGTTTGGAAGCAGTACCCTCATGTGGTGACAGAGGACACTGAGCTGAAGTAGGTGCCATCCTTCTGTTGAGACATTTAATCAAGATCCTTATTACTTGGTCGTTAAAGATCCCGGGGCACTTTTTTGAGAGAGCAGAGGTGTTAACCCCAGTGTCTAAGTTGAATCCCACTTTAGACTTGTGGAATCTGGCCTTTAAATTCAGTTAGAATTACTCACTTAACTACCTGCAAAGTCCTGGAGCAACTGGCTTACAAACATTTCCATGTGCAATTAAGGTGGATGAAGTGGATCCACTCCTATACTTAAGACTCTCTGTGTTGGAAGTACTATATACATTAAAGGAATTATTATCCTATCATGTCAGTAATCATCTTTGAAAATATCCTAATAACCAACCCCACTGAGGTTGTACTGTATATGGTATCCAAAGCCCAAATACTTTGGAGGTGTCCAAATAAAGTCCAAACTTTAAATATTGCTGGCCTTGGATTGAAATGGGCATTGTGTCCTGGATATAATTGTTTATGTTATATTTGTTGAGGCAAGCCCAGTTGCCTGCTACACAGTGCTTTATGCTTTATGTAAGTTTGCTGGTGTCTAGCATAAGCGAAGGGGTAGAATTCTGTTATATTTGCTTTTAAACAGGTGTTTTGTCATACTTGGGTGTCTCTTTTTCCATCCAAACATTGTCTCTAGAGCTCTTCTGTGACCTGGTACTTTAAGGTATGTACCAGTGTGGTCTATTTAAATTGTTTTACATACTCGTTACTCTGGATTTTCTTTTTTGGTTCTGTTTGTTTTTAAAATATCTGGTTTATACAGCTGTAACCAATTGTGGGAAACATCTTATCTGTTTTTAACTGGTTCACTGTGATTAGGGTAGTACTGAAAAGCTTTGAAGCTTACTTTCAAATTTCAAATGCTCTTTGCATACAGCATCTCTGAGAGTACAGTATGCAGGACAAAAACTTGTTTTATTTCTGAACAGTGTCCATTTTTGAGTTCAGTAATTTAATAATATTGTGATAATTTGTCTTTGAACAAATGCTTTTTTGTCTAGCGGCTAATGGTGATTTGTAGTACTTGTAGTAAGATCTCAGTTTTACGTCTTGTCCGAAGGGCAGGGATCAATGAGATAGTTGCTTGTTCTGGGTGATGTACTGGTCTGGTCATTACAGCACATCAAATCTCACCTGTTTGGCAGCAAAACAGGGCAGAAGAGTCAGATGTTTTAAAGGAAGCTGAAATAGAAGAACAGGAATGGAAACATAGGTCTAGAAAGAGTTTAATTAAAGACAATTTAAGAAAATAAGTTTGAACCGAGCATGTTATAAAAGTGACCCCTTGGAATCAACCTTGAAACTTGGCCTTCTGGTGTGGCAGAATTAGCTGTTGTCTGGAGCAGTGGTGTTAAACGCATGTGCTGTGGCAAGCCAGATTGGTTTTAAAATGACTTCAAATGGGTCAGACATACTGTATCATAAATTATCAAAATACTAGGAACATTCATTACATAGTAATGTGTGTACAGTGTTGTGTGTTTAGTGTTTATTGTACAGCCATAGATCACCTTTTACAATTTGCCATATTTTTGAGACCTCAGGTCTAGAGAGTGGCGCTGTGCCTGTGGGGCACAGCATAGTTGGACTTGTTGTAGTAATATTATGACTTGTGTTACCAGGCTGCATGATGGCACTTTGGATACAACCCCCTAGAAAAACCCCTTTATTGGCCAAGATGAGGGTTGGAAGGTGAGAGTGGCATTTTCTCATAAAGTGTGGTTTGTATGTGCCATACACATGAGAGGATTTTCCATTGTTATCACCTGGTAAGGAGAAGATACACTGCATGCAAGAAATTAAACCATTTGTCATGTATTCTCTGAACTAGTGATATACATAATGAACACATGTCAAGTGCTTGGGAAATCAATAGGGAAACAACACTGAATAGTACAGTATCAGCAAAAAGTTAGCAGTCAGCACTGGAAGGTGACATCCAGTACTTGTGAGTAAAGAGGAACAGTCGTAAACGTGGCTGATGTTGCCTACATTTCCTGATGTTTACAGAATAATTGAATATCTTGTAATATCTTATTACCTCCAAGAAAACTCTGCTGGTGCATAAAAATATTGTAATTTATGGCTATT